TGCCTAGGGTCGAAGCTTGGCACAAATGGGAGTAGAATCTCCCAATCACAGTCCATCGCCATCCCCTCGACATAGCCGAGGCCAAGCCCATCGTCTGCTTGATCTCCCTAATGATCTCAGTGGCAATGTGCGGTGGTAGGGTGCCGATGATGTGCTTCACTACTCGACGAGTCTCACTTCTATCTTGGCCATAGGCTGCCTCCAGAGCATTCATGATTGCCTCGCATTTCTTCAGAAAGGCATCGACTTCCACTGGGGAGGAGAACTTAAGTTGTCGAAGAAGTTTTGCCAACTCGTCGACTATGGCCGATCTAAGATCGGCGATCTTCGCCCATGTCGCCTAATGACACTGTGACGGAGATGCTGCCATGACCATCCGAGCTTCCTTGCTGCTCTCTTGGCACTATTCTGTATGGCACCATCCGGCAAAGTCCTCAAGAAGGATTCGATGCACGAGACGCGTACATCACCATAAGGTCTGAATTGCCGGCCTCGACCTTCGCCCACAAAAGTACCGATCCTTGCCTCCACGAAGATGTTTTCACAGACATCAAAATGGGCCGCGAGTTCTAGAGCCTCAGTACATTTGGGAAGCTTCAACCGGGACGGATCCATCCCTTTAGGACCCGAGGTACCTCTCACCTCATAAACGCCATCTCCTGGCTGTGGACAATGTGCAGTTCCTACTCATCGGTGTACTCTAGATCAGCTTCGACGAGTACAAGGAGAACCAAGCAGACTCTGCTTAGCAGAGTATTCGCCGAGAGCAAGGAGGGGGGCCTCCCCCTCCTCAGAAGGCTGAGAGGCGACAAGATATCCGTGCCAAATCTTCGATTGGTCTTTTGGGTGGAGTTTCCCGAGGCCTTAATCATAAAAGTCCAGTGACTCTATTTCTTGACGAGCTCACTGACTTAGAGGAGTTTGGTTGTGCATCTGATATTGCTATGTTTTTACTTTAAAGCTAGCTTGGATGTGGATGTGAACTCTTATCGTACTAATCAGTACTAATCAGTACTCAAAAATGGGGTTCCCTCAGGCTGGTGCGATGAGATGGTGGTCGGAATCTGATAGAGGTTAGCTTGTTAACCTAGGTTAAATACCGATGCGGATGGCCGCGTCGCTCCGCTACCAATTCGCACTGCAGAGATGTAACCGCGAGGCGAGCGGATTCTCCCCGCTTTCCTGATATCATAACATGGTCACGGGCTGAAAGACATTCTGTATTTTATCCCAATCCCACCACTCCCCGGAGCAAGTACCGAAGAGGGTGCAGACACGCACTGTCGGCACACTCCCTGAGTGTCACTCAGACCCTGTGTCTCTGAGTGTCTTTCCCTCATCGATACCTCTAGGGTCGGTTCGTAGCGAACCGCCCCACCAGACCCACGCGACCAGGAGTGGGATATTTAATATCTGATGAAGTCCTTATATGGTTACAGGGTGTATGAGAAACTTCCCACAGAAACTTTCGCCGAAAATTTCCGCGGACGTTTCCAAATTTTCCCGCGAGTAGAATTTTTCAGGGAACTTTTGCTGAGTATGCATTTTCGATGTTAGAGACCTCTCATTCATCTCATACAGCCTCCAAAGGGCTCAAAGGAAAGAGTAGCTTTGCTACTCTTACTCAGCATGCCTCGAATAGAGGGAAGAACCTCGCTTCATGTCAAAAACTCAAGTATTGGGCGGAGAATCTCGATTCAGCCAGACCTCTTAGAGGACAGATATTTTACACTAGATTCTTCAGCATGACTGCCATAGGTGGGCGGTCTGTCGCGGACCCTGGCCAAGCGAGACAGTCAGGGACTCTGATCCCACATGGAGTGACAATGATATTGCCAGCTGATTATTGGCTCAAATTAAGCCGCTCAATGCATACTCTAGACTGAGTCAACCAACTTCTACAATGTAGAATCTAATAAAAGTTTGAATGGAAGCTCCCACTTCAAGGCCTTCCCAGAGGAAGTCTACTGATTTCAAAAGGAGTAGTCATCCAAATCTAAGCTAGGGATGGAATACGATGACCTAGAGTCCCGTCATGTGCAGCGCCGCGCCACTGGTGTCATAATGCAGCATAAAGGAGCAATCGAGCGAGTTACTGTTGACGGTTGCCGGTGTATGAATTCACTCGCATATATGACCAACACGAAGCGCGGCAAAGTTCGTAGTAGTTGATTCAGCAAACAGGAAGCTCTCAAATGTAATATGATCCCCACGGAGGTTTGCGAGAATGAATTGTGTCAACGCCTTTGCTCTTAAATTAAGAGGCTTGATTATCTAAGCCCTCACATGTTGATGCACGGTGGATTGCCAAGGCCGCGATCCTTGGTCGAGTCAAGGTGTTTTCGGTAAGATCAATCTAGCCGAGTCAGCTGGTGAAGATATGGCAGCGAAGGAGATGGAAATATCGAGTACTTTTAGAGAAAATTAGATTTACTTTTAGGCCAATGATATTCTAAAAGATCGACAAACTGCGTGAGCGACATCTCAAGAAGTATGTAGACGAAAGTTCTCTTCAAGCTGAAGTCTAGTTGCCATCATCTTCACCGAATGCGAAGCGTGATAGAGAAGAAGAGCATTCGCAAGCTGATGCAGCTAGTGACAGATCGAAAGGTGCTGTTCGACGTCAACCCGCAAGGAAGGCTCGAGAGCAGATTAATTATGCTCATCAGCTTCGCACAGAGTGTGCGAGGGTGGTATGTGGATGACTCTTGAATAAAGATGATGATTCTTGCTTTCTGATGATTTCCTTCCAAATATATCTGTAATACAGATTCTGTATAACACAAAGCTGTTTTGGCTAGTGCTAATAATGTTGAGTACATAAGTTATCGAAGATGAGTAGCCATCTTGGCTCAAGACTCAAGTTATTCTTGTTATGTATGAGTTCCTCCTCCCCTGCTTCTGAGTTGAACAATAGGAGGCAACAGAATGGTCACATACCATCTCACAACTATATCATATATGTGTCACACAGTGTGTGCGAATTAAATGTTCAGCACCAACGGCTTAGTCAGGCCAAGGTCGATGCATGTTGCTTGGTCGTATCTCATAGTAGGTAACAAGAGTCGGAAAGATCTCCGTCTCTATCTATTCGGGGGGATAACTTATCCCGGATAAGTGATTAGCTGCGCACATGCACGCAAACGCGCACAATGCCTAGAAGCAGTAACAATCCATGATACTGGGCTTTCTGAACAAGCCCTATTCAGCGACCAACGAAGCCATCGCAGGCCGGTTCACTTTCTATCCATCCTGCAGGGTAGTCAAAGAGCTTCCTCTTCCATGAATCACAAACGTTGTGGATGGATGATAATTATGAATGATCAAGTATGATGTGTCGCTTCCGTGCGAGTCCTCTCCCCGTCTCTTGCTCAGGATCACCTACTAAGTTCTTCCTAAGAGTACTCATGACGGTTGACACGATTACTATCTGTAACCTTCCTGATCGATCAATATCTATTAGCTGTTCATCTGTGCTGTCCGTTTAGTCTGTTGACTACAACAGTGTTCTGAGTATGATAGACCAAAAACATTTTAAGCACAAACGCCGCGTGTGCGACCAAACATCCAAACCCGCCACTCCTGAACGTGAGTTCAGATTCATCATTGTATCACTACTGTGCACTACTGTGCATTACTGTGCATTACTGTGTCATTTCAAGACTAGCAATCTAGTTTCAACTAATCGAATCAAACTTTCATTGCGTGTGAATCTAATTATGGGCTATTCCACAACGTTGTGCGTCCGCATCATCACGTGAAATCATGAAAATCTCAGAACCGAACTCACATTATGAGATTCGAACCGAATAGCAGAGACACTTCAGTATCATACTGAACATGTTTGCCTCAGCTTCATCCACTCCTCCACGCATGTTCTTCAGGATCTCTGTAGCTACGATAGCCCTCATCTCGCTTGCTGAAGGCATCGTGGTCGGCCGTTCAACTGGTGATGAGGAGTCCCTTTGCGGTAGCTTGGACCCCCTAGAGTGCACACCGGAGCTCATCAACCTAGTGAAGGAGCTGGAGGCGGAGCTCATCGAGCAAGATGATGAGGAGCGTATTGCCTCATACCATGAAGATCCTCAGCTAGCAGCAGTTTCGGCTGATGGTAGCTTCTCATATCCGCCGGGTTGTACACCGGATGTGCGCCCGCAAAACAGGTACTACTGCTTCCACGGCAAACGCAATACAACTGGTAAAGAGAAGAAGCAAGTGACAGCCATTGTTGATCTTTTCGATATCAATGACCCACAGGACAATGTCGTTATTGGTCTCACAGCCGAGTTCGAGTGCAAGACTGCGATGAGGCTGAGCACCCACGCCGGCGGTGAGGCAGAGGTGGTAGCTTTTGGTAACAAAAAAAGGCTTGGCGCGTACCTATCCTTGGCGACCTATGATGTGGAAACCCCCAAACCTGGGCTACTCGGTCGCGTGCAGAAGAACCTAGTCGCTAATCCTCACTTCAAAATCTATGTTTTCAGCTACCTAGCTTTGGACATTGAGCATTTACCCAGTAATACTAGCTATATGTACGCTACAAATGCTGGGAATATGGGCTTCAACGTGACAACATCGATCTCTAAGAAGGTTACACTTGGTACTGTTGATGCTTCCTTCTCTTTGACCTTGGATACTCTTAAGGCCAATGACAGCATATGGGACCTTAAGGGTACAGCGAAGGCCTCCGTCACTAATGCATTGATCAAGTTACACTTCCCGGTGACCTTCCTTAGGGAGAGAATCATCCTGCCACAGTAAACTTCCTTCAGCTTCTCTCAAAGGGGTTTTGTGGATGATTCGTCTTGGTCCGCCATAGGTGCTTGAGATTCCATATTCAGCACATTCTGGGCGGGCAGACTTTTGTTGGTGCGTTATCTTGATATCCGGACACTCAACCACTTAAAACTTGTTATTTCTATGCTATGATTTTTCAGTCTTTGAGTCACCATGAGTCTCTTCACAATCTCAAGATCATCGTAGACTCCTTGAATCAAAAACCTCAAACATCTTGACCTTGAAGCTGTTAGACTGTCAATCAAGCGATCCTGTTGCGTTTTTCTCAGTGACGAGGCCTGGTGGCACATTGAGGAGACCTGATGGCATATTAGGGAGACCTGATGGCATGCTGGGAAGGCTTGATGGCATACTGACTCAGTATTACTGAGTGAGGGAGCGCGGATTACTGAGATGAGCATATGGGCTGTTGGGCGCGCAGCCTGTGTCTCCAACATAATGTTGGACCCACAGGCATCAATGATTGATGGTGAGACAACCATGTCATGTATTTAGATAGTAAATTGTCTACTTCCATCATGTAACCTCTGCAAATGTACTCTATTTTCCCTCGGCAGGATCCGCGTCCACAACTGCGGGGGCTGTGTACGACCACGGAACACAAGTACTTGCCACATTGTGTTGACCCCAAGCATCATACAGACTCAAAAAGTCCATACTCAAGCGTAAGTCGTCCCTTACCCGAGACTATCTTTCTCGCTTTTCCCGCGCAACTTTGACAAGTGAGCAAGAAAAAATGATGGTGTTACAATCAAGCTTGACTTTGAGAACTCAAGTATGTCACAATCTAATAACGTTACAAAATCGAAGCCGAACTCGAATGAATCCTTCATGTCCAACGAGATCCACCAGGTTTTGGCGACAAGAGCACCTTGCCAGCCGAGGTATTTCAGTTGTATTCTTTCAGAGATGGCCGTCTAGTCATGGGTTTCGCTTGTGGAGATGGTTATCGTTATTACGAAGTCAGAGATTGGAGACAGTACTTCTGACCAACCCCCAAACCCGTGGCCCGTACGCCGTAGAGTCGGTGAGGGTCAGGATTATTAGCGGCCCGAGCAAGGCTGGGCTGCCATCTTCGACCAAACCAACTCGGTTTGCGTCGACGATAACATACGAGGTAATTTCATTGGTGAACAACCTACCAGAAATCTATGGACCGAACGGTCCCATTTTCCACGAGGCTTCGAACAAAATCGGTCACGCTACGTAATGAGCGAGCGCCCTGACCGGACGTACCCGGCTCAAATCGACTTGGAGGCATTTCACCGCGGTGGAAACCAAGTTGCACCTGATTTTCACCAAGCATTTGAAATTGCGGTAAGGCCCAATCCGACTGGGCCGATTAAGACAATCGGCTTGCTTTGTCCCGGCCCTAAGTCGCGGATATGCGGAGTACATAATAAGGCTTCGCCGAAGTAGATAATCGCGTTCCCCAAACCCCGTGACTCACGGACGGTCCGCGACGGACCGTGAGCACGATCCCCGGTTAATGAAGTTCTGAAGATTTTGGGAAAAATACGCACAACTTTTGTTCTTCCCTGTAAGTTCCCCGAAAGTTGCTTAGTTCAGGACCAATAGCTCTAGCTTGACCTTATTCTCGAGGTTAGTCTCCTCACACTTGAGAGTCTTGAAGTCTCGAGTTGAGACTAAGGGACCTCTGAAACGTTCTTTGAGTTTTTCAAGTTTGTGAGATGAGAGTCTTAATCTTAAGATCCGCCAAATTGGCGAATCTAATGGGTTTGGCGACGCCAATCTTTACGGGTTAGTGGAAATATCTCAGTGGAAGCCGCCTGGAGTGTTTTCACGCACCATCAAACATCCCCGTAGATCAAAGCGACTTTGGAATACGGGGACCTCTTTCAAAGCTCGAAATTCGAGCTTTCCAATGATGAACTGGAGCTGGTGTTTGGGATAAACCCTTGTGATCAAATGTAGTACGATACAGAAGAGGCGTAAAGGGCCAGCCAGATCCGTGAGAGTATTTCTCGGTATCTTCGAATGGAGCCTACAGTTGCGATCTCTGCAACGAATTCGCGAGAGGGTACTTCAGTCCATCCCGGACTACAATGCATCTTGGAGAGTGCCGCTTGGATGATATCAGGGCTTTGGAAGGGAAGAGGCGGCCGCTTTTGCCGAATAGGCACGTGAGTGAGGGCTCAGCGATAAAACAGTCGAATGAGCGCTCGGCGCGATATACCGATCACACTCATCGTCGTCCCCGGGAGCACGAGGATTCTCTACTGGTGCGAGAGTCTTGCTCCACGGACAAGCATGACGTGGCCGATTTGAGAACCATAAATCGAGAGTGCGACAGCGATCCGGGGTCCTTCCCGGAGAAGGATGCAGTATTCTTAACCTCTAAGCCCCCGATACCCCAGCTTGAGCACCAGAAGAGCAGGAGGTGTTCGATTTCGTCTAACTATCGTGCAGCTGCACAGTATTTCACTGAACTCCTTTGAAGACGAGTGCTCGATCAATTCTATGCTCGTTCGATTGAGTTCCTACTCGCGCATGGGTGCCGCATTGATAAGTTCGATCGTACTCCGCTGCCTATCCTCTCCGCTATCGTGGGTATGGTGGGACGTGGCTTTTCTCAGCCGCCGTATTTCTTGACTCCAGAAGTGTCACAATGGAGACGAAGGTCAGTGTCACAATGTGTTGACAGTGGAGACGAAGATCGTTGAAGTTCCAATGGAATTATTCCAATGTGACAGTAATGGAGTTATTCCATTACATTGAATTTCAGCATTCCATAACCGAAAGTTTGCACACCTTGTCTGAGGCTATTTTGTTCTACATGAGATCAATACCTGCGGGTGGGTTGACTATATCACCGCTAGACGATACGCGCTAGTAGTACAATCAGGCTGCAGGAGCACGAAATAGGTCCTATCGGATAGGAAGATCAATGCCGTTGGTACGACTGGAGTATTTCCTACTTCAACCGGGATTTTCCCCATTTTACCCATTTCATTTTCACTTGTCCCCTGCTAAGGGGATAGTATTGCTGTTGATAGGGCCAACTACACCCGTGATCTATGATGAGAGTCCTCAAGCACTATTTTCTGACGTAAACCCTCAAAACAGCTAAAAATCCGTTCAAAGTGAAATATTTCACTGAGATTTTTTTCCATGAAATATTTGAAATATTTCATTGAAACATTCTGGTAATATTTCACTATGAAATATTTCAGCCACCCTGTCACCAATCAACTAATAGACAATTACCCGACAGGTATTTCCCGATGGTAATTGGTGAGAGATATGGAGATAATCTGCCTTCACCTGCTTCTACTGCTACCGATCACGAGAGCTGTTGTTGGTTATATTGTGGCGTTGGTGCACGGAAACTACCTTTTTTTCTACATTTTTGCCAACAGGCCATGACCGCCCTCGCCCAGCGCTCGTGCAGTGTCGGGCACAGGTTGGTTTAACTTGGTTATATATTACAGCTCAGGACTTCTTACTCAGGAGGAGAGGCCAATCTACCGCTGTCTTGTAAAAACCTACGACACCATATACGTGCTAGAACCGGGGTATCGGTTGCTCATCTATCGATTTACTAGTCTAAGTCCACATGCAAAGATGCGGTGCAGCGGATGCGTTGTGCGGAGCCTGAGCAGTTGCGCTCACGTGGACTGCAGGAGTCCACGTGAGCGAAGAAGTCCTGGGAGGAAGTCCAACTCCTTCCCAGGATTTTGAGGCTTAAAAGAGTCTCGGGAACAGAATTCGTTACTTAGCAGGATGGGTCTTCTGTTCGACTGCCGTGATCGTTCGTGTGAGTGGTAAACAGCCCCAGGCATCCACGTCCGCACGACCTTTGCATTACATTCACGCCGTTCTTCGACAATGCAATACCGGTAGCGCGTGTGAAG